AACAAATAAAGAATTGACAAAAAGACTGAAATAAGCCTATTAAACTGACAAACTAATACAAAAATGGGAAGAATGACTTAATTGAGAGCAGAGACTGGTTCTTTTGTCCTTTTTGTACAACTTTAATTTACTCCAATAAGCTATATTATGTTGTTATTATCTTGATTTTTTTTTGTTAGTTTTTTGTATTTATTTTCAATTTAACTTCATATTTATATAACTTGCTCTTTACCTCACACAAGAATTAAGATTTCAGAATATGTTTGTACAGATCTAAACCACAACGTTAGCTGTTTTTATGCAGAATAAGAATATTTTGTTTGTTAAGGAAATGATGGTACTTCAAAATTGCAGTTTTTGCAATTTGCTACTTGAGTCCATTCAAACTGCCAACTTTCACTTTGGACTTGAAATCTAGCAGTACTGATTGATTGGCAAAAAGTGATTTGTAAAGCAGGGGAAAACTATCAATATTTACATCTGATCTAATTCTTCTATTAGTACTATACAACATTGGGTACCACTATATAATAAATATACCTTAATTAGTTAATAAAAGCTTAATGGGGCAGCAGTAGCTCAGTTGGTAGATCATTTGCCCACTCATCTGAAGGTTGGTGGTTTGATTCCAGCTCTCGACATAAACATCACAGGTTGAGCGGTCAGATCCACTGCCCCACAGGTTGGCTGCTGTGATTCCAGCTCCCACAGATGAATGCTGTCGTTGTGTCCTTGGGCAAAACACTTAACCCATCTTGCCCACAGTGTCTGCGTACACTGGTGTGTGAATGTGTGTGTGAATGGGTGAGTGGTTCCTTGTTGTAAAGCGCTTTGAGTGCCTTGAAGGTGGAAAAGCGCTATAGAAAAATGTGACCATTTACCATTTAATAAAACATGGATAAAAGCATAACTCAAAATGAACACATTTTTTTTTTAAACAATAATTCAAACTTAAGTAAGCAACCCTTTACAACTGAATTACTACCACTACTATTTTGGGGAGCACAAGAAAATTAGTCAATCAATCATTTATCACATTTTGTAGGCAGTGGGCTCAAATTATTTGTGTATCCTTCTATCTATGAGACAGTATCAACGCTAAGGGGTAAAAATGTTATTTACCAAGTATTTCAAAGTATTTCTGTTGACGAAACTGAATTCCACTGCACGCAATCTTTTGTGTTCCCAGGCTATTGTAACCAAAACTTAGTTTCAACTCCTCAATGCGACCAAATGACTGAGTTTTTTCCCTGACAATACCATGCACACGTATCACGATATTCACATCTGATCTAACCTGTAGGAAAACCAATGTAACAAGAAGCACAGAGCTGAGAAGCCATACTAGAGCTGTCCTCTTCTTGTCTCGATCTTGTCTTTCACAGTCTCACACACTCTTTCCAGGCTACATATTGTATTGTCACGGTAACCCTATAGGCTCTGGAGCTTCTGTTGCTGTCACTGAAGCGCCCTTAAGTAACACTAGCCGTTGGATAACATGTTCTAGGTTAGCGCTTGGTTAGCACACAAGAAAATGTGAGTACAATACAAGATTGGAGCATCCTGGCCTTGCACTGACCCCATTTACCTGAGCACCTGAAGCCTAAAGAGAATGGGACTTCGTGTCTGTACAAGTACAAAGTTGACATGCAAGAATGAATTCAGGCAGATGTTTTGGGAGCTAGGATGCAGGCAAACTCGCAACCCCCTTTATGGATGAGATATTGCATCCATAAATTCATTCAAGCGGATCATTTTTACCATATGCTAAACAAATGCAATTAAGCTCATGTGGGAAAGTGTCACAAAGCACGGGCAACAATACAAGAAGTCTATGCAAAAATAAACAATCAACAATCTGCAGGAGTGGTAGTAGTGGTATTCAGTATTAGTAAACAGCAGCAGGAGTATAAAGTAGTAGTCGTAGCAGTAGTAGAAGTAGTAGAAGTAATAGTAGTGGTAGTAGCAGTAGTATTGGTAGTAGCAGTAGAGGTAGTAGAAGTAGTAGAAATAGTAGTGGCAGTGGCAGTGGTAGTAGCGGTAGCAGTGGTAGTAGCAGTAGTAGTCGTTTTCAGCAGTAGTAGTGGTAGTGGTATAAAGTAGTAGTTGTAGTAGTAGAAGCAGTAGTAGATGTAGCAGTAGTAGTGGTATTCAACAGTAGAAGTATAAAGTAGAAGTGGTAGTAGCAGTAGTAGTTGTATTCAGTAATAGTAATAGTAGTAGTAGTAGTAGCAGTGGCAGTAGTGGTTGAATTCAGTAGTTCAGTAGTAGCAGTAGCAGTAGTAATAGTAGTAGTAGTAATACAAAGGAAGCAATAATATGATCAAAACAGCACTGAATACCATGAACTATATGACAATGACATACATAATGTGCCCTCCCTGTGCTCCAGTGTTATGGGAAAGCAGGCCAGTCGCATGTACACAGTGTTACTTAACCTGGCTGCTATTGATGTAAGGAGCTTATAATGGCCAAAAGTAACAAAGGCTAGCCTCCTTTGGGGTACTTGAAAAAAATCACAGGAGGGGACCAGGAAACAAAGCTTAAACCAGTTGCTTGCAAACGACTTTGAGAGTATCTGCTTACCTGGCTGTCAGTCACAATAATGAGAAACGAAAGCGTATTGAAAGCAGTCGATAAAGTTAAGTTTTGTTTTCTTAAAACAGATCCATAATTTCTTTGTAATATTGAAAATGACGGTCGGTGAGTTTGTTTACATTCTTGGCCTGTTCAAGTTAGGTCAAAGCAGCTTAGTACGTGGTGTACAGTGATATAAACCTAATCCCTAAATTAACCAGGATACATACTTATATTAACACACTGTATAGTCTACAATAACAACTCCATAACCTGCAAATACACACATTTTTCTTAAAAATCTACAAAACTTTGCCTTTGAAACCAACAGACCTCATTCCCTCTAGGTGAACCAGGACACCCAGCTTACTTACATTAAAGGTGTTACACAATGCACACTGTATATAGGCTATCATTTTCACTACATTCTTACGACTCCCTAACATGCAAATGAACATGCTTTTCATAAAAATCAACAAAACTTGCCTTTGAAACCAAAATATGTGTCCTGCAGGCTAAGTATTCTTCCCCAAAGTGACACCCAATCCTGTTAAGCAACTATTTAAGTACAAGTTAAGACTAGATTTAAGTAGGATTTATGAGATTGCTACTGTAACTAAAAAAGCATACATTTGGGCTATGCTGCTTAAAATATCTTGGCTACAACAGAACCTGGACTATTTTGTTATGCATGCATCTCTAGCGTCCTACTTTGCACACCTTTTCAGCTTTCTACCCCCTCCCTCCTCTCTTAACACTCTTTCCCTTCGGATATCAACTTTTCTTCAAGGAAAAAAAAACACACAGCCACATCAGCCTTTTTTTACCAAAGGAATGTCATCTGACGTCATGTATTTAGGATCAGATTTCGCCTGCTTCTTTCTACTTCTCCTTAAAAAATATGCATGTAGCCTATGTGTGCAAGTGTGTGTGTAAGTGTGTGCAAGTATGTGTGTTATTTTTCCCCTATAGCCTACATTCTCGAGCATGTAAAAGACCATAAATCGAAACTCTCCAACACTACAACCACTTAAGATATATTAATAACAAGATGAAAGCATATTCTTATGAGCATAATACATCTTTTGTTTGTTGTTGTCATAGAGATTAAAGCCGGTGTAAGTGCAGTTAGCTGGGTAGAATTGCCAAGCCTCCATTCAAACCATTATCCTGTTTGTTAATGGTATTTTTAGTGTGAGCCTGATCACTTAATTAAAATGTTGCAGATGTTTGTCATAATCTTAATAACGTGTAATTATAGGATTTGGGATAGCAGTAGCTCATTAGTCCCCCTGCTGGTGCGTATAGTTACAACAGCTATGATATTTTGTAATAAAACTTAGTGAATTTGTAATAGTTTGTATGGCATTGAAGCATAGTCACTGCTGTTACTAAAAATCAATGAATAGGCCAGTTAATGAAGGTTTGAATTTGTATTTTAAACTAAATCAGGTATGGCAGTCAGTTTAAATAGATGACACTGACTTTGTAGCTCCAACCACGAGCCCCAATGTTTGATTTCCACGTCTGCATCAGAGGGAGATGTGTCTTCGCTGCACAAACAGACACGTAGACAGAGACAGAGAGAGAGAGAGAGAGAGAGGGAGAGAGGGAGAGAGGGAGAGGGGGAAGAGAGAGAGAGAGAGGGAGAGAGAGAGGCAGACAGGCTGGCTGGAAGGAATGCTAGGTTATGCTGGAGTTAGAACAGTTTTTCCTTCTTCACCAAAGCCCTACTTTCTTCTGCTTTCTGCAAAACCGCACAGTGGAAAAGCAGCGCCTCAAAAAGCAATGCATTTGTCCAAAGACGTGCTCACATAACTCCTGCCTTGTATGAAGGAACACTAGATGATTTCGCAACCACCACTGTCAAATCTGACTGCATCAGCATCTTCAGATCCCAAGTTATTATTGCCGAGTATAAATCTGCCCGTTTCCTGAATTTACGCGCAAGACAATCACAAAGTTGTCACAAACAGACTGTAGAAGAGATTTAATGCGTAATGGGATGAAAATGTGGAGTTTTTGAACTGTTGCGCACTCACATCTGAAGTTGGTTGCCGAGACAAAAACGCATTCTTCGGGAAAGCGGTGAAATCGGGAATCACAAAGAGCAGCTCAAAGGAACACAGTCGAAACTACCGAACAGCGAAAAACAGCGATATGGACTTTGGTTGTGTCGGTTTTCGGGAAATCAATGCTTAAAATGCCTCTCAAAGTTTCGTTTCTGCGCCCCTCTGTCCGCTGCAGTTTTCCTTTTTCCTCTGCGCGAGCCAAGTGTCCCAGACTGCCGGCGTCAGCGCTCACTCACCGCTCCAAAACTATCCACGCACTTCGAAAAACTTTTAGCTTTTCGCTGATCACACGCTCGCCTTCAACAATAACGAGGCGGTTCGCACAGCTAAGATACGTGTAAAACCACTCACCTCGCTGTAATAAAAGAATCTTGAAAAACAGACGTAGCTGCGTCTTTTTTATTCCCAGGCTCGGATCCTTTGCCTGTCTGCTGGCGCGGCGCGACTCGGACTGGGAGACTCCGCCATGTCAATCAAAACGCGACGCACATGGAGGATAAAGCCCGCCCACTTTACCGTAAAACCCAGTGCGCAACAGGAAAAGCGAGTTACAATATCTTTTTATAGACTGCTTCACATTTTTTGTTACGTTTTTGTAATGTTATTAGCCTGGAAGAATATTTGAAATGAAAATAATAAGGAAACAATGTAAAGATTAAAGGTGCACTATGTAACTTTTTGGTGGAGGGTCTCCTACGTGCTCGTCTCCATGGAAATGCCTTGCCTTTGCTGGAAATTTTCCACAGAATGGGATTAAACCAACATTCTCCATGGAGACAAGCCAATGATGTCACCAGGCCAAATTACAAGGCAGATCTGTGGATAGGGGACCATGCTCACAGTAAAAATGTAAGTTTTCCAAGGTATTTTCAGCTCAAACACCCCTGTAATTGTCAGAATGCAAAACCGGTATAGTGCGGAACATTCCAGGGAAAGCAGTAATATCTTCATTACACAAGTAGGTGGCATACTCATCACCAGGAAAGTTACATAGTGCACCTTTAATTGTATGTCTCTAGAAATGTCTCACAGAATGGCATTAAACCTCTACTAAAAACCTTACAGTAAGCAGGGCCACCTCTCAACAGATCCAACCTGTAACTTAGTCTGGTGGGAATAGATACATTTAATGCCATACACTGGAACATTCCAAGCAACGCAATAACAATTCCAGATAACCAAGCAGATGATGAACGCACCATTAACAAAGTGACTAGTGCACTTTTAATTCAGCAAACTTGAAAAAAACCCATATTACACAAGAGTTTGTTTGTTCTTGACTCATTAAAGTCTCCTCCCACACAGGATGCCTGGATATGACGTGAAACAAAAAAGACTAGGACAACCCTGACCTTAACTAAACTGAGTAATAACATATGTATACATTTAAATCCTGTAAAGAAACCACCTCCTCTTATAATCTAATCAGGAGTGTTTGAGCATCTTATCTGTCTACCACCTCCTCTGGCTTCACTGTGGGAGATGAGATCCTGAATAATTTAAATGAAGAGTCTTTCAAAATGTAGGCTGTTTACTAACTACACCACATATCTGTTGATCAGTTTGTGATTGTAGATGTGACATTGTAATTTTAAGATTTTCTTTGAACATTTTTTAATCAGAATAGCAGATTTATAATTGAGACGTGCATCAAATTTGCCCAAATAAAGCTATGTAGACTCCATATTAGCAAATAGTTTTTAAAAGCTATTGAATGTATAGTTAAAGCAGCTACGGTAAATTTTTCATAATTATTTTCAGAGTCATTATATGAAATCTTACATCTCTGTTTTAAAGAAATCATAATACAATGTACCACCAATGTAATGGCTGTATATACTTTACTTAAAAAGGTGCATTGTGTAACCATGCAGATGTTATTGCTTTGTCTGGAATGTTTGGTACTGTATGGTATTAAACCTTTCTATCTTCATGGAGACCAAACCAGACCAAGTTACAGGTCAGATCTGTGGAGGGGCAACCCCGCTCACAGTCAGAATACTTCTTTTTATAAGTGTTTTCTGAGCTATAAAACCACCTATAATTTAATAAATGTAAGCTAGAGCTGTTTAATGTCATACTGTGGAGCATTCTAGGCAGAGCAGTGGCATATTCATAGAAACAAGCAGGTGATGGACCCCCAGCAGAAAAAGTTACATGGTGTACCGTTAAGCATATACGCTGTTTGTGCCACTATAGGTCATAGGGAGGACTGGGGACAGTATTATCTTGGTCCCCCTAGTGGCTGAAGCGGACCCTGGCACCTTTCCAACACCTCGTCCAAGGGTCACAGCAGCAATAACCAATCAATGAGCTCTGTAGGACATTTAGTACAGTTTTAAAAGGAACAACAAGGCCTCAATAAAGCACCATTACGTAACAATCAGGGTCATGCTAATGGATTAAAAGTATGGATTGCATGACATAATCTGCAGATTTTAAAAATAAATAGTGTAATAAATTATTTAAATTTTCTATGTTAAGCAACATTGACTCTTGTGAGTTTTAAGTCATGTTATAATGCCATTACCTTATTAAAAACATGATCAAAGTTGCGTTTTGTTTCATTTACACGTTTGAGTAATCCTTTATTATTAGTCTTTACCTCTGTCCACCTTGTGATGTCATGAATTGGTAGTTTTCTAGTTAACAGCTACATTTTACCATTAGCTCAGAGATTGGAAATTCCAGACCTGAAATTATAATGGAGATTATTCTTTGAACTGAAGTTGAAGGTTTTTAAAAACACAGTGAAACACTTCCTGTATTACCACATGACATCACAAGGTGGAACTGTGTTTTTTCAGTTTGAGCGAACAACTCAGCTTAAATATGCAGAGTTTGTGTGTTAAACATGTGTGAATGAATGTGTGAAAAACACAACTTCAGCTATGTTTTGGATGAGGAAACATTATTATAATAAATATCAGAAAATAGTGTAATATAGATCCTTTAAAGGTGTACTATATGTAACTGCTATGGTGGAGGGTTCGCTAATTGCTCGTCTTTGTGGAAATGTTATTTCTTTGCCTGGAATATTCCACAGTAAGGCATTAAAACTATCTGTCTTTCTCCATGAAGACAAGGTGTCAGACCCTCCATCAGAAAAGTTGCACAGTGCACATTTAAATGCAAAAACGTATATCAAAATGACACAAAAATCCACTTGCAATGGTAAAGATATAACTGCTGAGACATGCATGTCTCAGAGTTACATTTCAATGGCAAAAATGTTATAAGAATCCAATAAAAATAATTCAGTTATGTATAACTTCATTATTCAAAGGGAAATGATAATGCCAGAGAAACAAAGAATTGGATAATTCAATAGACATCAGTTCCAAGGTTTTTTAATATAGGAAGAGCAAGTGCAGTTTAGGAATATAAACAGAAATCATTAAAGTGGTAGCAATACTGGGTTATGCTTTAAAGGTTCATTGTGTAACTTTTCTGGTGGAGCATCTGTCACCTGCTTGCTTGAAGAATCCGTAGAATGGCATTCCCTTTTATCAATTATAGGTAGTTTTAATTCTTCAAAAATACCTCAGAAAACATGCATTCTTACCTCAGGGTTGCCTCTCCACAGATCAGACCTGTAACTTGTCTGTGTTGTCTTCATAAGTTTACAGGGCCTATGTTGCGCAAAATTGACTTTGGCAAGGTTTAAGCCATCTTAAAATGCTGTTACTTCCTCAAAAACACCTGGAGTTGTGATTTGTTTCATTCATTTGAATAAGTCTTTGTCATTAGTCTGTCTACATCTCCAAAGCTCAAAATGCTCTGTTCCAACTTGTGATGTCATGAAGCAGTAGTTTTCAAGTTAACAACTACCTTTCAACTTTAGATCAAGTATGTTTGTGATGACGAAACATTAGATAAAAAAAATTGTATAACATGAGCTCTTTAATGTGATATTGCGGAACATGTCAACCCATAGACACAAGCAGGTGATGGACCCTCAACAAAAAAGTACAAGTTGCACATTTAATTACGGATTGTATTTTATTTGCACTGTATAACTGAACTTAAAGGTGCACTGTGCAACTTCTCAGCAAGGCCCACCGACTGCCTGTTTTCATGGAGATTGACTGGAATGTCCCACAGCAGGGCATTAATCTCCCTTGTGAAAGCAGGAGACACAAGGCCAATTTACTGGTCAGATCTGTGGAGAAGCAAACTCACTCACACAGAGAATGCAGGTTTTCGAGGTTTTTTTGGAGTAATAAAAACGCACCTAAAGAAAAAAAATACAAGACAGATACATATTAATGCCATACTGTGGAGCATACCAGGCAACGCGATAACATCTCTATGGAAGTAAGCATGTTGCCTACCCTCCTCCAGAAAAGTTACACAATGCACCTTTTCTGTTAAGAATAAACCCAGTGAACATTACAAAGAAACCATGCACAAAGTTGCTCCTCTGATCTCTCTCCAAATGTAACCTACCTCTTTACAGGTTGAATGAGGAAACAACATTATAACATAGATCAGAAAATAATGTAATAATAATCCTTTAATGTCATATTGCTGAACACGTCAGGCACCAGAAAAGTTACTCAATGCACCTTTAAAGCTTTTCAGCGAAGAATAACCCAGGTGAACATTACAAAGAGACCATAGACAAAGTAATAGCCCTTGCTCCTCTAATCTCTCTCCAAATGTAACCTACCTCTGGACAGGTTGCATTTGAAGGGAGCAGAAAGTGGACGCAGCCAAATAGACTCATTGCCCCTGAGTTCTAGATTTCTCTGCGCTGGCACTGCCACCCACAAACATTCCACCGACAGCACTAAGAAAACTGCTACTGTAATCCTAGGCCTGTAAAACACACGCCCTGCACCAGGACATGGGGCTGTCAGGAATGAAATATAAGTCAACAAACACTCATCCTCCTCAAATGGCCTCAACAGGTGTGCGGAAAATCTATGAGGCTGTTGTACGTGAAGAAGACAAACATTTTTATTTTATTTGTATGGATTTGTTTATTTTTATTTTATACAGAAAAGATGGTTGTCTGATACAGTGAATAATTATTGATTACAGGGTTACCACAGCAACCCATCTGCCTCTATTGATTCTTTGCAGTGACGTCACACTGGGGGTTCTCTACATGTATCTCTATGGAGTTATGTTCACATGGTGACACAATGCAAGGCACACATTAGCGAGCACTGTCAAAAAAGTTTTAAGATTGTCTGTAAACTCAAAAAATGCTAAATTGATTTGAACAACACATTTTCAGGAGCCTGTGATAAATATGAGCGTCCTGTTTAGGAGTTTGATTTTCAACAAAAAGTTGAGTGACTAAGTGAAAAACTGACTATAATTACATGTGTGAGAGACTTGTTTAACAGTACAAATCAGTTTACCTGTTGTAATTCCAGCTCTTTTTGGTCAGATTGTGTTCAAATAAAGCTCAGATTAAAGCCTAATAAAACTTCTAACAGAGCAGTGCCTTCAGTTAGCATCACAAATGTTCATCA